AGATTGCAGTTGGCAATCAGCAGGTTTTTGGAGACCGGCGTCACAGGTAGGTTGGTATGAAACAGTTGATTTCTTTCTCTTTCTTCTCCCCCTTCCCTCCCCTCCAAAATAGACTCTTGAACCACAGGCAGACTGAACTGCCTCTAAAGTTCTGTTTCTGGCATTCACAGGCAGAACAAGCTCAGCATCACCCTGGTGCACCCAGAAAAAGGCAGATGTGGCAACCTCACCAGCAGGTTAGGGGCACAGCAGGAGGTAGCTCGGCAAGCAGGGCAAAGCACCTTGGGCTGCACAGAATGAAATCCAGACAATGTGGCCTTTCCTCTCCATGCTGAAAATCCTATACCTGTGCAGTCTATAGGTGTTATGGACAAACAGACTCCTGCCTTTCCCCAGCCCCATCATCCCCCAACCTCCTGGCCTTTGTTGGAAGCCCCAGGATCCCCCCAGCAAGAACTGGGGGAGGGTTGATTTCAAACTCCACGAAACAGTCGAGGCACAATGCAAACAAATGTATTGCAGCACACAGCTATGCAAATAGCTTTAGAGCACAGCACGTTTTCCCCAGCGTTAATTGCTGCACCACCGGCGTTGCATAGCAACAGCTCCGCTTGTGTCTCTGACAGCTCCTGCCCCTTGATGCCTCTGACACCTTCTGCGGCAGATAGGGAAGGAGGAGGGAGCAAGGCTGCCCTGGGAAACCTGAAAGGGCCAGGGGGTAGAGAGGGGCTCAGGTGGTAAGATTTTCCTGGGACACTGGTGTGCCTTCTGCTGGTGTGGGGTGACACGTGCAGCAGGGCTGGTTGTGCTGTGGGAGCAGAGGAATTCCCGACAGCCCCAGTCTTGTGTAGGCAGCTTTCAAGGCTGGTGGCCAGAAGGGGCAGACCTCCCATCTCCCAGGCTCTTCAGGAAAGCTCGCTGGCAGATGGGGTGTCTCTCCCATCGTAGGGAATCCTTCTGGATACCCCACAGGGGTTTGTGACACCCCTTGCAGCTTGGCTACAGGCATAGAAGGTCCTCAGTAAGTTGCTTCACCCTGGTCACAAAGATGCAGTAGGCTTGTGGCTTCTTCAGCCATTGACGGGGTTGATACATTCCTCATGCACACCCAAAGCTAGGAGAGCATCAGACCAAGCCCTGTGGGAAGGGGTAAACAAAGGTGCCAAGGAAAATGCTGCAGCAGTGTGGGCAGCTCTGGGCTCCCTAACGTGTCTGCTGAGCCCAGCAGCTTCTGCTGGACTGACCTGTGCCTCATGAAGGGCACCCTCTTCAGAGACAGGGGTGACTGCCTCCCGAGAACAATTTTTCCTCCTTTTAAAAACCATGTTCCCAATTCCCATCCTCTGCATTTGTCACTTGGTCTTCAGCTCCCACTGTGCCCTTGCAAGCCAAGCTGAGGAACCTACTAGTACCCAGCATCTTCCTCTGGGAAGGCAATTTGGCTCTGCAATCAGCTCACCTCTCCTCTGATAAGCCACAGAAAGAAATAGTTTCTCTTCAACAGTTTACACTGTCCTAAGCAATCCTGCCTGAAGCCATGGGACACTTGAAATAACCTCTTCTATTATACCTGAACCTGAAACAAATTCTTCTCTGAGACTGCCTTAAAGGGTGAGGATGCAGCCCATCCTGGATTCATTGGCAGAGGATAGCCCTGGGCATGTTTTATTCAGTAGTAATAGCCAGAACAGACAGGAGTGTGAGACAGGCTGGGCAGATCAGCAGGTCCTGGAGAGCACAGAGCTGTGTTTGGGAGATCTGGGGATGGAGAGGCACAGGCTGTGGCTCAACATTTATGGGATATGGGGAGAGGAAGGACTGAGGTGGGATCTAGCTGTACTTTGAGCCTACATGCAGATGGTGGGAAGGGCTCTGCCTCCACGAAATCCTCTGAAACAGGGAAGAGATGCTGCCTGCAGCACACAACAGGGGTGGGCTGGGGAAGGAGCAGATGAGCTCAAGGTGGGAAGTTGCTGCCCACCTTTGAGCCAAAGTGATTTGAGAGCAGAGGACGCTCAACACATTGCTCTTGCAGAAGCAGGTGAACTGTGTTGCTGAGTGTGAGATGGGTGTCCTAAGGAACAAGAGCAGTGAGGCTGAATGGATTTATTTCTGTTATCAAGTAGGAAAAAAGGTTTATCTCTGTCTTTTTAAATTTACAGCTTGGCAAGCTTATTGAATCTCAGATTGACTCCTTTGAGTAGAGTGGGACAAATAGGGTGAAAATGAGCACCATGGCCCCAGGCACATTTCAAAGGAAGAATCTAGGTGAAGGCAAGACACAAGTGCCGCCTGGAGCCTTTAGGATGGGGGAGCTCAGGTCCCCTCTGCCATATGAGGAGGGTGTGGGTCTTTTCCAACCCCCCACACCCATACAAAGCAGGTGGGACCTGTGACTGCATTTGGCATCGTGCTGAGTGACTGCACAGTGAGGAAGGACCCTACCCATCCACTCTGCTCCCTTCTCCCAAACCAGGGACTCCATATGCAGACCTGCAGTATCCTCTTTTCACCCAGCCTGGAGCTTGTCCTTCCCTCCTCACCACCATCCAGGCAACCACTTCACCTATGCCATGGGCTGTTCCTTCACAGCTGTTTTTAGTGTGTAGCACCCAGAGGTGCTCTGGCAAGGCAAGGATTGGCTGTTTTGCCACTTTAAAGGCTTCCCGAGGCTGCTGGGGGAGCGTGGCATTGGGGTGGGCCAGGACAGGGCCACACCTCTGCTGCCACTGTTATAAATTCAGGCTCGTTGGGGAAGATGGCTGCTACTCTTAGGAGCTGGGCTTGCGGGCAGGTAAGAGGAAAGCAACCACCCTCTTTGCAAAGGTGGAAAAAGCAGTTGTGCTGAGCTCTGCCTCTTCACAAAGCCCCCTTCTCCAAGCCTTTCTCTTGCAGGGGTGGGGGTGAAAGATTTTTTATCCCCTTTGTTACTCAGAAGGGCAAGGGGAGGAGCTGGGCTGTGTAAGAGATTCTGGATCACATAACCCTTCCCATATAGGGCTCTGGAAAGGGGCCAGGTTGTACCTGAACATTTTTCTTTAATCCCAGGCATTGCAAATTGAAAGTCATTGCAGCGCCAGGTAGAACCAGTTGAGACGGTTGCTGGAGGGTGTTTTTCCTGCCCGGGTGTAGTAAAGCAGTCTCGAGGCACATTGTTTATCACTAATCCTGAGAGTGTGTTCGGGAGGTGCTGGAGCACATTCAGTGAGCTGAGCTCACTCAGCCTCTCTGGGTGCTTTTGGGAAAATCTTGTCCAAGAAGTCTTTAAGGAGACCGAGTGGCTGTGTTTCAGAGGCAAAGCCTTGTTACACTTAAAAAATTGGGCAAACTGGATAGCAAAGGGCTGGATAGCTCAGGACAGGCTTGGCTACAGCCTAGCACTTGTGGGTGAAGAGGAATCCAGGTGCTGCCTGCCCAGCCTGGAACCCAAAGCAGCCCATGGGCACCTTTCCCTGCCTTTTGACAGGTTTGGGAGCAGAGCCCATGAGCCTGGGGAAGCAGGTTGCTGGAGGTGCCTTCCCAACACTTGTTAGTTCACAGAAAGCTGCCACAAGCGGTAAGGAAGAGGCAGGTGAGGTCTTCCCAGAGCCAGCTCCTGTCCCTGCCTTTCCCTCCCTGCTGATGGCTCCTCCAAGCTGGGGCTCATCCTCCCTGTCTGCCTGCTGAATCCTGCTTCTGGCAGCATGAGGAGATGCTGCAGATGAAGCTGCTTTTCCTTATCCTGAACCCTGCAATAAGCATTGCCCCCCTCAACCCAGCCAAGCCAGCGAGGTTGGTGTCTGATGCTGGAGGAGGAGGGAGCAAGACTGTAGGGGATGGAAATTACTTTAGCTCCTCCAGTACAAGGCCAAGAGGTGCAAAGTACAACTGTTACTGCAAAGCAGCCTGGTGTTGCTGGCAAAGATCCTGTGCCAGGCAGTGTGGGTGCCAAGGCTCACAGCCCCCTCAGTGTGGCAGAGACTGGGTGGGCATTGCCTGTGCTGCCACTGGGAACAGATACGGTCTCAGTAACAGCACTTGGTGTGGCTCTCCTGATGAAGTCATGTGAATATTGGGTAATTATCCCTTAACTTTTCCACCAGTAAGTCCTAATTAATTGCCTCTGCCAAGCAGGTGAATTTTAATCACCTTGGTTTGAGAGCTAGCTGGAGGCAGTGATCCTGTAGCCAACGGTGCTGTAGAAGCACACCTATCTAGGTGACCACTGCATGTTAACAGTCAGCCCGTCAGCTGCAGAGCCACTTTGTTAGATGTCAGTAAATCAAAGGTCAGTGCAAATGGCAAGGCTCTGCACCATGCAAGGGTGCATTGCTGCCTGCACGTCCTATGGGCTGGGAGCTCACCAAAACTTCTGCAGCCATTACAGAAGAGGCTCAGTTCTGCTCAGCTTGCCTTACACTCATCCACTTCTGCCACCAAAACATTAATAGAATTTGAAGCCCTAGAGCCATTCAAGATTTCTGGCATCTGTCTGCCCAGCTGGGATGCTGTTCTGCTCCCACCCAGCCTGGCTGTGCAGGTTAAGCATGCAGAGGTGTGCAGTCATCCTGGTGAGTCCCCAGAGTGCTGGGTCTTCTACACCAGGCAAATACTAAATCTGATTCTCACTGGCAAATGTAGGTTTGCTTTGAACATGGTACATGGTGCCTATACACCAGAATGTCCTAGGCAGAAGAGTAATTCTGGGTCCTGTGGCAGTGGGAGATGAACAACAGTGCCAGTCCATGTCCTGCCAGCAAAATGCATATGTAAGTGTGCACACTGGAGACTGGAGGGGTGCTTGCCAGCCCCATGACAACAGAATAGTTTGTCTCAGCTGGAGGTCAGGCAAGGGATTTGCCTGAGTGGGAGGAGAAGGGTTATTCCAGTTTTGCAGCATAAACTTTTATTCCCTGGAACATGTTACTGATTGCTTCTCTCTTTGTCTCTCTAGTGAGGATGCAGCAGAGACAATAGCAATAGACTCTAACAATCAGCCGAAGTCTCCACTGGAAAAATTTATGGTCAGACTGTGTACACATCACCAGAAGCAATTCATTCGTGTGCTAAACGACATATACACTGAAGTACAACCAGAAGGCCAGCAGTTGTCTGAATCCGAGAGCATGGAGGCCTCTACTTGTGGCTCTGGTTGTAGCCAGAGAAGCACTGAAAATCAGGATAAGGGTGCTACTTGTACTGAATCAAAGCTCCCTTCTTCCTTGGACCCGGGACAGTCGGGGTCTGATGGCCCCCTGCATGTTACAGGACAAACCCCGAAGCAGTTGGTGGAGCTGAAGTCTCTGGAAAGAGCAGAGAGCTCCAGTCCTGCTTTGAGAAGGGACTTCTCCGAGCTCCCCATTGCCAGGCTTCGTTCTGCTAGTCCAAAGGATAGCTCTACCCAAGGATACCTCAGCACGTTGAACTCTTCCTCTTTGAATTTCCATCATGCCGCAAAGAGCCTGGAAGGGCAGCAAGCTGCTGGGCACGAGCAAGAGGCCAGTGCCAGAAAGTGTGAGGACAATAAAGAGCAACTAGCAGGTAAGACTCTTGTGGAAGGTTATATCTCAGTCAAAGTGGCAAATGTGAACGGCAGTGAAGACAGCTTAGACGGCTGTCCGGGGTCCCAAAAGAGTTCTTTCAGAGCTCTACCAGAAGAGTCCTGGGATCCCAGCTTTGCAATGACCCCCCCTCGCAGAGCCGACAAGGAGAACACTTTGCAGTGCAGCTCAAAAGCATCTTTGCACCAGGACTTAGACACAAAAGAACAAGACTCGAGACCAAAGCAAGAAAACCACCTGCACGCTGTGGCCAAGGGCAAGGCAGGCTGCCACCTGCTGGCGGCCGACAAGGCCCCTCTCGACAAGTCCAAAGAGGGGTGGCTGCCAGCTGGCGCCGCGCCAGCCGCCCACCGGACCCCCGGCGGGCACCCCCGCACCAGGGCAGCCTCCCTCAGATCCACGCGGAAGAGCAAGAAGGCGTCAGGGCTGCGGATCAATGACTATGACAACCAGTGCGACGTGGTCTACATCAGCCAGCCCATCACCGAGTGCCACTTTGAGAGCCAGCGGTCGGTGTCGTCCCGCAAGACGGCGAGGAAGAGCACGCGAGGGTACTACTTCAACGGGGAGTGCTGCGAGCTCCCGACCGTCCGCACGCTGGTGAAGAGCTCCCAGGCGGAGGAGAGGGGGAGCAGCCCGGCCCTGCGAACAGAGACCCTTGTAAGCACTAAGCCACCCCTGGTGCCCTGGGTGGGGGGGTCTGTGGGAGCAGGACGGGAAGGCGAGAAGAGGGTTTCCCTGAGGCTCCTAGCTAAAGGTGCATCAGCCCAACGAGAAACAAAAGAGAGAGCTGAGACAAGCTCGGTGCCGCCCCGGAACACCCGGGCGCTGCGGTCAAGGGAAGCCACCATGCCCATGCCCTTCTTCTCCCTCTCTGCTCCACCCAGCCCCCAGAAAGAGGACAGCTTGGCTGGCTCGCCACCCCCCCGCCCCCCCCCCGCCGAAGGAGGGAGCGGGCAGCGCTATCCCCTGTGAGACTGGCAGCAGCCTGGGCTCTTCTGGGGATGGCAGCAGTAGTGGGCAGGCTGGTGATTTTGCTGTCCTCCCCATCTCAGAGGCATATGGTGGGGAGGAGGGTTGCCCAGGCTCTGACACACAAACTGATCCTGAAATCCCAACCAGCCCAGAGCTAAAGTTCCCCTTGCAACCCTCTGCCTCTGCGGACACAGCACCCTTAGCCCATGATGGTACAGGGGATCCTGCCCAGCTTCCAGGCACGGGAGGTTTGGAGCCCCACAGGGTACATCCAGCAGAGTCTTCCCCAAACTCCCTGGGCCACCAGGCGTCTGATATCCCCCATGCCACTGTGGACGGAGAGAGCCCCCCAGAGCTCCCTTCTGCCTTGCAGTGCCTGGACGTGAACAAAAGCATCAATGCTGAACCAGAAGCTGAATTATCGGGCATGGTGAATGACGGTGCCCTTGAGCAAGAGGAGACTGTGATGGCCAGCATAGCCCTTCCCAAAATCTCAGAAGAGGAGACTGTGATGGCCAGCATAGCCCTTCCCAAGATCTTGGAAGAGGAGGCTGGGCTGGCCAGCATAACCTTCCCCAAAATCTCGCAAGAGGAGGCTGTGCCAGACAGTGTAGCCCTTCCCAAAATCTTGAACGAGGAGGCTGTGCTTGCAAGCATAGCCCTTCCCAAAATCTTGGAGGAGGAGGCTGTGCTGGCCAGCATAGTGCTCCCCAAAATCTCAGAAGGGGAGACAGTGCAGAATAATAGTCCAGCAGGTGAAAAAGAGCCCATTGAAGGGGAAATGCAGCTTGAACCTGACAGCTCAGACACTGCAGCAAAAGACTCTTCCAAGGACAGTCTAGACAAGAAGCGGAAGAAAGGCAGGAGGGTGCTTGTGGCATCTGACCGGTGTCTCCGAAGCCAGCAATCCCAGTCACCTGCTGAGAGCAGTGCTGAGGATGCTGGTTCTTCCAGCTCTGTGCAGCTTCCTTGCCTTGAGATCAAACTCTCCAAGAGCCCTGGCACTAAACGGTTCAAGAGAGAAGAAGTGCACCTGGACGAGGCAGCATCCGTGCACTTCCCAAATGACTGCTTCCCCAATGTGCTGCTCAAAACCAGCGAGGGGCCGGACACTGGCCAGGATCCTGAGAGCATTGCTGAGCATCAGCCAGGTGAGGAGAATGGTGTCACTACCAGACAAGCCTACAAAAGTATCTTAGCAAAAGAGACTGCAGCAGAGGGAGAAAATTCCTCTAAAGGTGATCCCTCCACTAACAGCAGCCGAAGTCAACCAGGTGAAATGCTGGAAATTGGCATCCAAGACAATTCTGAGAAGAAAGGCAGTCTCCTCCCTCCAGAGACCAGCATGCCTGCAAATGATGCCAAGCAAGTGGATATGAAACTAGGTGATGCCAGCACAAAGGATAAGGAGAGCTCTGACAGTGCTATGGACATGGGCAAGCTGGAGAGCTATGAACTGGTGGCCAATTCACCTCTGTGTCCCAGCAGCAGAGGCGGAAGCAGGCATCTTCCAGCAAAGGCTGCCAAGCATAAAAAAGTTGCCCTGCAATTTTATAACTTAAGACATGCACCTGCACCTGTTGACACTGCAAAAAAGAGCACGCCAGGGAAGGAGTCTATGCAAGCGATACCCAAACTGAGGGAAGAAAGCATTTCAGGGAATGACGACTCCCTGGCATTGGAGGACTTAGACATGGCTGACAGCAAACCAAAGTTTATGGAATGGTGTGCCGAAGAGGAGAATCAGGAGCTCATTGCTGAGTTCAACACCCAGTACATGAAAGTTCAGAAAGGCTGGATCCAGCTGGAGAAGGAGGTGCAGCCAACCCCCAAGGTAAAGAACAAAGCCGACAAACTGAAAGAGATTTGGAAAAGCAAGAAAAGAACACGGAAAAGTAGAGGCTCGCTGGAAGTGCAGAAGCTTTCTCCTGTACAGATGCTCTTTATGAAGGCCTTTAAGCTGTCCGACATCTGCCAGTGGTTTCTGGAGACAACTGAAACCAGGTCTCTAGTGATCGTGAAGAAACTCAACACCCGTCTCCCAGGGGAGATCCCCCCCATCAAACTCCCCATGCAGAAATATTCTTCCTCCAGTCTCTACCCCAGCTCACTGCAAGCCGAACGTTTGAAAAAACACCTCAAGAAGTTCGCTGCCACTACCCCAGCTCGGAATAACCTGAAGAACCAAAAGCTTTGGGCCAAAATTCGGGAGAACACTGATAAAGCAGAGGCTGAAGAAGCCACCACTCCCAGCCAGACATCTCCCACTGACTCTGACACCGAGGACCTGAGAGAAGACAAAACCATTCAGCCTGCCCCCAGCTTGCCCACACAGGCCAGCACCAGGATCCTGCGCAAGTACTCCAACCTGCGGGGCAAGCTGCGAGCCCAGCACCGTGTGGTGAAGGCAGAGAAGAAGAGTGATGGCCTGGGGGACCACCTGCCCCTGCATTGATGTCTCCAAAGTTGGCCTTGCAGATCAAAGCAGATGCCTTCCCTGCTAAATCTCCATCAGTAGATGGGATGGGAAAGGGGCGGAAGAGCAAGAGCAGGTCCCAGGAGGACAACTCACCCAAAGCTGACCTCCAGCTCAGCAGAAAGAAGAGGACGCTGAGGGAGAGTGGGAGCACCCAGGAGCGGTCCAGCTCCTCCACCAAGGACAAGCTGCCTGCCAAGAAGGCCAGTAAAATAAAGCATTTGGAGGGCAGTGTGAAAGCTCCTGCCACCCGAAAGCAGGCTGCTGTGGAGAGGAGCAATAAGCTGGCTAGAAAAATATCTTTAAAAGAGAAGAGGGTCACAAAAAGGCAGCTGGAGAAGGTGCGACTCCCCATACGGAAGGGCAAAGAGAACACGAGCAGACGGGCTGTCCTGCCCCCCGGCCACGAGGAGCTCGCCAAGTCCCTGAAGCAGAAGCCCCTGGGGGAGTCCTCCACACGGTCGCAGAAGATGGCCAACAAGAAGCCCAGCAGTGGGAAGACCCTGACAAGGTCCATGAAGAAGATGCAGGAGAGCAGTGGGCAGGGCAAGAGGAAACTGAGGGCAAAAGTGGACTGTTCACACAGCAAACGCTCGCGACTGGACCTGAAATAGCGAAGAACCAGTAGCCATGTACAAAACTGATGTATAGTAGTAACCCTTTACCATGCATTAACTAAAGCTGCTTTTATAAGCTGTAGCAAGCCTTTAAAAATCCGCAGTTAAAGGATAACGCTCGTGATTTTAGGCATCAGCAGATGTGTCTTGAACAGAGAAGAGGTCGGCCTGTCTGGCTTTGCTGTTCAGAAGTTTCTGCAGTTTGAACGTTCCTTGTTTTTGTTTTTTTAAAACTTGGAACCAGGCAGTTTTAGTTAAAAGTACAGTGCCTTATTTATCACTTTAAAATAAAAAGAAGCTCGTCTGTGTGATTTGGAGGCTTGCGTTTTATACTTGAGGCACAAGCACTTGTACTGTAGCAGAAAGAAAACCACCTTCGTGCACATGAAGTAGCTTTCAGCAGCCTTTGGGTGCACACAAACGTTTCCCTTTCCTTCAGAGTTCTCCTTCTGTCTGTCTTCTTAGTGGCATTCAAAGCAAAACCAAAACTGTTTCCCATCAGTGAGGGAGAGAAAGGTGAATCTGTCCTTCATTAGTTTGTTAGTAGTAGCTGCTGGTGTCCTGGTCTGTTACCTGCATAAAAGTATTAATTAGCTACTGGTGTGTATACTGCTGATGGCTGCCCCGTTGCACAGCCCCTGGGGTGGGGAGGTCCAGCTCAGGTGGAGGTGGGAGATGCTGCTGCCAGCTGGACCCTCTGGGCTGTTTTCCTCTTCATTTCTTACTGGCTTCAGGGATGAATCAGTCCTGCCATGCTCTGCTTTTGGACAGACTTCCTTCTCCCGTTTTGCTGTGCTGGTGGTGATTTCTGTGGTCTCTGACAACAAAGCAGTTTTTGCAGCTCTTCGCTGAAGGTTGCATCTCTCCCTTCTTACAGGCTTGAGCTCTTTCCAATGTTGGTGCTCTGCAGAAGGAGAGCCCTGGCTCTCCCTGTGCTCTTGTGCACGTCTTGCCTAGCAATCTTGCCTTGCCAATCCTAAGGCAGGATTTGCAGTTGGAATAGGGTTGGGATGAGTGGCTGAACTGAGTTTATTTTTTACCATCATTTGCCTTTCATCCTTTTTACTAGCAAGGTGCGGTTGGTTTGTCCTTGCTTGTGTCTGGTGCTGTGGAGTCTGAAAGCAGCCAAGCCTCTGCCTTGTCTTGCATGGTGCCTTTGCAGGGCTCCTCTGCAAGCCTGCGCAGCATGTTTAAAAGCCAGTTGGGGGTGTCTGCAGTGGCAAAACAGGGTCATGGTGCTGAGCACCTCTGAGAAAGACCTGTTAGAAGTGCACAGAGAGTGTGGCTGTGCTGGGCAGGGATGGTCAGTGGCTGGGAAGGAACAGCTGTGGTCTGTGCTCAAGGAAAGGACTCTGCTCAGCCCTTGCATCTCTTCAGCTTCATTTTTGTGTTGCTGCACAAAGTCTGTTTGCATCAATCCCCATGCAAGCCTCCTCCTGTGCAGAAAGCAGCAATTCCTGAGAGGACAGTTTGGGCTCAGGGATTCCCCCATCTTTAACAGCATCTTGCTGGTCCTTGCTCTGCTCCTTGACTCTGCTCAGAGCAAGGCTCCAGGAGAGGCCATGGGTTTGAGAGTTGCCTGCCCTAGGGGCAGAGGCTGGAGGGGGCTCAGCTGCAATGGGAATTACTTTTCACGATTAGCATTGAACCTCAAATCCCAAACCCCATAGACTGGAGGTGGAAAGCAGGTAATAATTTAAAAATATTTCATTGTTCCTGTTTAGTATAGAGGATGAAACAAGGTGTTTGAGATCCGTACGCCCTTGGCAGAGCGCCTCTGGCTCTCCTGCAGGTGTTCCCTTCCCCCAGCGCTGACGCACATGAGGCTGCGGCACATTTTTTTCTTACTCTGAAATGGCTGATTTAGAAAAAAAGTAATCCTTTACCTTTCCTTTGAATCACGCTAGAATAAGTTAACTCTCTGAACAGCTATGAGGTGATTAAATCAAGCCTGGCGGTCCCTGTACAGATTAACATGAAATTTTCTATTGCTTTAATTTTTACTGCATGCGTTCGATACGTCAAACATTCCATCAGAAAAGATTTAAAAGCATTTCAGGAGAGGTGTGAGGCAGGAGGGCAGTGATGGCAGTTAAATAACTGATCTGTACCTTTCTTACAGGTTGTCTTTCTCTCTTGCTTCTCCATCTGTACTTGGTGGTCCTCCTCTAACCTCCAGCTGGGGCAGCCTCTCTGCAGGCAGGTGGGCCCAGGATTTGCTCTCCTTCCCTCAGGCCAGGCATGCAAGTCAGCAGCTCTCTTACTGCTCCCTGGCAGCAAACTCTCTTTTCCCCATCCTTCACAGCCCCTCTTTCTCCATCCTTCAGCATTACTGCAACAGCTTGCTCTCTCCCTGGTTTTCCCACCTTAGACCTGGTATGTCCTTCATGAAAAGTAGCGCTCACAAAGTCTGTGCAAAGAGCAACTGACTTTCAACAGGAGCTGGGCTGTGCCTCGTAGGTGTAAATCTGAAATTTTGCACTCTTTAATGAGGAAAGGTAGAGTGTCTGTTTTTTGTCAGGATGGGGGTGAAAAGAGGGTTCTGAACTGGGCTGTGGATTGTTATTCTTGTCTTCAGAAAGCAAATTAAGAGAAAGCAAATAATTATGAGGTTATTTATTTTAAAGAGAACAATTTTTAAATACAGTTGCCCCAGACTGGTGCCTGGCACCAGCCTGGCCCACACATGTGCTGCATGTCCCTTATGGGTGCCTGGCTCAGGTGGGCAGACAGCAGAGCAGGACCATGGGCATCTGCAGGGACAGGGAGCAGGGACTTCGGAGGAGGTGCTGAGTTGGGCTGTTCCCAGGTGAAATGGTCTGGGGTCTTGTTAGCAGGGACCCCCCTGGCTCCCTGCTCAGCCATCCTTGTGGCCAGTCCCTGGCACCACAGCCACTGCAAGGCTCTCCCCAGCCAGGCATGAAAACCCTGCACAGAGTTTCTCTGCTTTCTGCCTTTCCTCCTAACAACTTCCCCTTTTTTAAAAATCAGAATTTTAAGGAAAACAAGTGATTCTTGTCTCTTTTGTGCTGTTCATGAAGAGATGGCAGGAGTGTTTTCTCCGGCAGCTGCTGTGCCGGGTGGTGAGGTTAACACGTGCAGGTAGTTTTTAGAGTTCAGGCTTGTTTGCCAAGGGATGGGTCAGGTGAAGCCATCGCCTCTGGTTGAGTCACTGCAGCAAGCATGTGGGCATGACTTCTCCAGCCCACCTTGAGGTGGAAATTTTGGTGCTTTATTACAAGTTCCTTTGGGTCATCCTAGGGGAGGATGCCCCAGGAGTGAGGTTGATCAGGGGTGGTTGACATCTCTAGAAAAGCATTCAGGCTTTCTGCTCTGAGGCAACCCACAGCTCCTTGCCAGGCTCCTTTCCTTGTCGTCACTTCTCCGGGAGATGTCATCTTTGGCCCCTCTGCCTCTCCTGTGTGCATTCTCCACTTGACACCAGCAGTAACTGACAGGTTTGCAGACTACAAGACCTGCTTTTAATGTACTTTGCACCTGCTTTTGTGAGTGCTTTGAGTCAGGAAGGAGGGAGGAATGCTGTAATTTGCTAGAAAATTAAATTTCAGTGTAATTTGCTAGTAATTTAAAGGTTCTGCATGCAAGATGACAACCAGGTAGGGTGGCATTGCCTGGGTAGCTCCACTATTTTTTTTTGTCAGTGCTTAGTTGTTTGATTTTTTTTTTCTTTTTTTCCCCGATCAGTTCTCATGTTGCTTTATTTTCTTTCCAATTTGCTTCCCAGTTTCCTCTCTCCTCCCAGCCACTTTTCAGCTAGAACAGTGCATGAGAGACTTAAAAATAAGTAGAGGTAACACGGTGTATGTAACCTGTTGCTCTTTCTAAATGACTTGGGATGTGCACGACTCACTTCTATTTGTTCTGGCAATGGTGAGGTGTGCTGCTGAGGCATTGGCCCTTCTTTAGAGCAGCCCATTTCCAATAACTGCAGCTTCTACACAATGCAGGTGATGCACAGGGAGCTGCAGACGATCTTAAGGAATGGAAGGAAACAAGCAAAACAATTTATCGCCTTATTTCACATGGGCATTGAGTGCTTTCCATTCGCTCTGGTGCAGAGCTGCCCACTGGCACTACCACAGTGCCATCCGCAGCTCCACTGCCTCATTGCATACCTCCTCCTCTGGGCCACCCCCAGCTCCCTGCTCTGCTTCTTCGTTCAGCTCTGGATTTCAGCACAAGTGCTGTGTCCCACAAAAGAAACCCTTTCTCTTTCTCTTACTTTGGCTTTCCTTGCTGGCAGCGTTCTCATCTGGAAACTAGTCTCCAGCACAGCTCCCTAGTCCATGTACCAGGAGCAGCATCTTCTTAGCTCTGCATCTCCACAGATGTCCTCACCATCCCTTCACTGCCAGCCCCCCTCTCTCATATGCGTAGTCACCTTTTCCTCTCTCACCTTGTCATTGGCAGCTCTAGGTCTTCACACTTCATGTGGTCAGGAACCACCCATTTTACCTAAAATGTACCTTTCGGGGCATGAGGGCTGCAAGAGCAGTTTGAGCCCAGGTTGGCTCCTTCTATCTGTAGCTGCTAGGTTCTTGTCTGGCAATGCTAGCCCTGGAATGAGTTCCTCTGCTGACAGGGCGTGTGCAGTATATCCAAGGTGTGCACGTGTTTGTATTCATCACTAATTCATCATTTATTAGGTCGTTTCCATGTGTGTTTGCTGTGTGCCGTGGTGTTTCTGTGTTCAGCTCCCAACACGTTAGTGAGATGCATTTGTAGCATAAGTTCTCCAAAGAGCTGGCTAGCCGATGCTTTCAGGAAACTCTCCACCACATTGCTGGTCATCTTCCATGAGATGGGAGAGTGGGATAAGTTCCTGCTGCTCTCTGCATCCCTGTCCCTCCCGCACCCAGGGGAGCTGTGTGGTGCTGGACAGAGCAGACTGCTGGAGCCTCTTTTTGCCAGCGTGCAGAGGAGCAAAGCTGCAGCCCAGCCGTTTTCCAGCCGTTTGCACTGCAACTCTGGAAATG